TGGCCGCCACGAAGAAGGGGAAGAGGCCCGAGACCACCGCCTCGTAGGTCATCCATGCGTGGTGCCGGTGCCACCACAGCGCGTTGTACAGCCACTCGCGGAAGTAGGACTTGGACCAGCGCGTCTGCTGGCTGAGCCAGCGCAGGAAGGAGGCGGGCGTCTCCGAGTAGCAGCGGGAGCGGGAGGTGTACCTGCGCGGGGAGAGACGTGGGCATCAGCGCGGCTCTCCTTGGGGGCAGGAATCCCCAGCCAGAAATGGCCACGAACCATGACCCCCTGAGCAAGCTTTCTGAACCTCTCTGAGCCTCCGTGTTATCATATTTATTTTTAAAATATATTTTTACAGATTTCAGAGAAGGGAGAGGGAGACAGAAATGTCAATAATGAGAAAGAATCATTGACCGACTGCCTCATGCACGCCCCCTACTGGGGACCAAGCCTGCAGCCTAGGCATGTGCCCTGCCCTGGAATCCAACCGTGACCTCCTGGTTCATAGGTGTACGCTCAACCACTGAGCCACGCCAGCTGGGCAGTGTTACCATATTTTAAAAGGGGTTAGTAATGGTTTGTACCTAGTCCTAGCTGGTTTGGTTCAGTGGATAGACTCGAGCATCAGCCTGTGACCTGAAGGTTCCTGGGTTCAATTCCAGTCAAGGGCACACACCCAGGTTGTGAGCTTGATCCCCAGTAGGGGGCGTGCAGGAGGCAGCCAATCAATGCTTCTCTCTCATCATTGATGTTTCTATCTCTCGCTCCCTCTCCTTTTCTGAAATTAATAAAAATATTTTTTAAAGCTGTTTTAAAAAATATAATGGTTTCTACCTAGTTGTGAGGATTCAATGCCAAGTGCTAGGGACCAGAATATAGACTACTTGCTCAATACATGTTATCTACTCAGTACTACTGTTTTTACAGTGACTAATAGTATTATTGCCATTACTAATATCATTACGGTTACTAACACTATTACTAATACTGTCACTAATCTATTACGAATACTCTGGCGCTGACTGTTATTGGCGGGCCCCATGGTGAGGAACAAGCCAGGCATGGTTCCTCCCCAGGATAGGCCACGTGTTAGGGCCTCTCCAGGGAACCATCAACCTCCCTTCCTGTGGCCGAGGCAGACATCACTAATCAATCCCTGCGGCTTCCAGCCACACCCACACAAGGCTGGAGTCCCTTGCATGGCACGTCATCAGGTGGCCGCCAGCAGTCAGTTTGCTAGGAGGGGGTCAGGCTATTCTGTCCCCACGGCATTACCTAACAGTGTCCCGTCTCCTTCCCCCGTGTCACTTGGCATCCTCAGTGGCCTCCCTGCTGACCCCCTTGCCCCTTGCAGTCTGTATTTAAAACAGCGGCCAGAGCGATCCTGTTGCAACATGTCGCCCATCTGCTGAACACCCTCCCTCATTTTAGGCCGAAGCTCTTACCCTGCCCACAGCCTTTCATGAGTGGACTCCCTGTGCACTCTGTCCTCTCCTGCACTCTCCCTTGCACCATTTTCAGCCTCCATCTCTCTCTCACCTCTGGCACCATATTTAGCATTTCATTCCCTCCCCTTAACCTTCCTATCTCTCTTCCTGGCCATAGCATGTACCATTATCTGCCATACTATATGTTCTATACTTTTCTTACTGTTATCTGTCTGCCTGCCCAGTCAGCGTAAGCATGCATTGTGTCTCTTTCATTAACTGCTACATCCCCAGACTCAAAACATTGTAGGCACTTAATGTCTGTTGAGCGAGTGAATGCCTGGGTTTGGTTTACCCCGAGTTCTTTCTGGCCCTTCCCCTGGGTCTAGCTTTGTAGAATTGCTACATCCCCAGACTCAAAACATTGTAGGCACTTAACGTCTGTTGAGCGAGTGAATGCCTGGGTTTGGTTTTACCCCGAGTTCTTTCGGGCCCTTCCCCTGGGTCTAGCTTTATAGAAATCACTTTCCCCTGAACTGCTCTAGCCCATACTCCCCCAAGTCTCATGGAGTTACATCTCTTCTTCCTGAAGCGCGTGCTAGTGTAGACGCTCTCCAGCTCTGTTACTTAGTTCTGCTCGCTTGCTCTCTATCTATGCATCTCTTTCCCTTCCTAACTCACTCAGAGTAACTGTGCTGCCATGGTAACCTGTGCTCTCCGGGGACAGCGCCATCTCACCCATCTCCTATTGTATCCTGTAGGCAGGACTCCCCACCCCCACCTGGCCTCACTTGGTAGAGTCCATAGAGTCTCATGGTTCAGTGCAAACGCTACCTCTGCCCCTGATGGGCTCTTCTTCTCTCCCCTAATGTCTCACTTGGAAGAGCCCGTTGTCCTGCAAGTGACTCTGGGTTTGGGGAATTACACACACACACACACACACACACACACACACACACACACACACGATACTCTTTGGCCTCCACGCCCACTCAACCACCTGGTCCCCTCGGCTTACTTGGTGGCGTAGCCCATGCTGAGCATGCGGTTGGTGAGGTGCCGGTCATCCCCAAAAGTGCAGTGGGTGCCCAGGAACTTCTGGTTGTACCAGGCCTCAAGAAACTGCTGCAGGAGGTGGTTCCTGTATAGGCCTAGGTGGGTGGGAGGAGGGGCGGGGGCGGGGGTTACAGAGCGTCAGCCTCTGCTGTCGCCAACATCATCCCCATCCCCACTCTTATCTCGAACCCCAACTCGTCTCTAATTTCAACCCCATCCTTAACCACTTCAATCCCATTCTCAGCCCTATCACCAACCACAACTCCAGCCCCAATCCTGTTCTCAACCCCAAATCCTTCCTCGATCCCACACCCATCTCAAACTTCCCCCAATCCTGTCCCTGACCCATACCCACTCTGACAGCACCCCAGACCCTTCCTCAATCCCAAATCTATTCTCCACCCCTCCCCTACTCATCCTCATTCAACCCATCTCCAACCCCCACCTGGCCCAACCCTGACCTTGACTCCAAACCCATTTCATCCCCTTCCCCAAAACCCTCCCCCAGCCCAGTGCTCATCCGCACCCTTTCTTCAACCCATTCCCAACACCAAACACCATCCCCACCTCCAACGCCCTATCTTATCCCTCTCCCCAATTCCTGTCCAAGCCCCATCTTTGACCACAATCTTAATTACACCCTCAACCCTTCCTGGCACCCCTTCTCCCTCTCACCCCCATCCAGAGCCCTCCCAAGCCCAGCCCCTGCTCACCTAGGGGACCACTGATGCAGGACACACAGTGGAAGTAGCTCTGACAGGCACGCTCCACGTTGAAGGCCACCCAGTACCGCAGGCTGCTTAAGAAGCTGACCCAGGAGTCCAGAGGGTTGAGGATCCGCACGTCCCCCCCAACAGCCCCCACCCGGGGGTCATCGTCCAGCACCCGCACCAACTCCAGCAGGGCCATAGGGTCCAGCCTCGTGTCTGAGTCGCAGACCTGTAGGGAGAAGGGGCCAGGATCAGGCTAGATCCCTGAATGGAGCTGGTGCTTGAGGGGAGGGCACCTAGGGGTGGGGAGCAGCTGGGACACTCTGCAGCCAATCCTATATAATAAAAGGCTAATATGCAAATTGTCCCCTCGACCAGGAGTTCGACCAGGGGGCAGGGCCAGTGGGCCAACCACCCATATCCCCTCCCTCCCCCTGGCTGGCCCGGGCTGATGGGCCCCAATTGGAACAGGCCAGCGGACCCCACCCGTGCATGAATTCGTGCACCAGGCCTCTAGTTTGAACACAACCTTGAATTCTTACTGATTTTCAATGTCTAATCACATTTTAAGATTATCAGGACCCTCCCAAGACCCACGCTGTTGTATAATAAATACCCTCTCTGGTGTTTGGGCTGGACCTGTATAACTTTCTTCTAACAGACTATGGCAAAAGTGATTGGATGTAACTCCCATGATTATATAACCTTTTATGGAAATGGTGAAGGGGTTTTGCAATGTAATTAAGGTTCCTAATCTCTTAACTGTTAATTAATCAAAGGTAAATTATCCAGGGTGGGCCTGACCTAGTCAGGTGAGCCCCATACAAGAGGGGCAAGCAGTTCGAGACTTTCTGTTGCTAGTCTGGGAGAGGCAGGCTACCATGAGTTTTATGACGGTGGAAAAAAAAATCTGCCAACAAATACGTGAGCTTGGAAGAGGCTGCTGAGCCTCAGATAAGACCCATGCTTGCAGCCTGATGGTACCCTGAACAGAGGACCCAGCTGAGCTTTGCCCAGACTCCTGAGCCATGGAAACTAGGAGATAATAAATGTGTTTTGTTTCAAGCTGAACAAGGTATCGTCATTCGTTATGCAGTAACAGAGAACGAATGCCATGCATTGGTGAATGAATCGCTACATTGAACGAATGAGTGAATGATTAAGTGAACAAATGACTCTGACTCTCTAGATGGAATAGATAGGTAAATGGATGGAAAAAATGAACAAGAGAATCTCAACACTGAAGGAAGAGAATGGAGGGATCTCTAAATTTAGTAAATAGCCCTAACCAGTTTGGCTCAGTGGATAGAGCATCGGCCTGCGGACTGAAGGGTCCCAGGTTCGATTCCGGTCAAGGGCATGTACCTTGTTTGTGGGCACATCCCCAGTGAGGATTGTGCAGGAGGCAACCGACCGATGTTTCTAACTCTCTATCTATCTCCCTTCCTCTCTGTAAAAAAACAATAAAATATATTTTTTAAAAAATAAATAAACAATAAATTCAATAAATAATTCTCCGGCAGGTGCATCTCAGTGGTTGAGTGTGGACCCATGGAACCAAATTTCCGGTCAGGGCACATACCCTGGTTTCAGGTTGATCCCCAGTAGGGGGCGTGCAGGAGTCAGCCAATCAGATGTCTCTCTCTCTCTCACCCATGTTTCTCTCCATCCCTCTCCCTTCCTTTCTCTCTAAAATCAATAAAAACAAAATGAAACAAACAAATAAATAAATTTACTGAATAATTAGTTGGATAGATGGATGCTTGAATGTGAATGCACGAAGAAAATAAGTTCTACATTGGATGAAGAAAGGAATGAATCTCTACATTGGATGGATGAATAAATAAAGGAATGTGTAATCTCTCATTGGATGGATGGATGGATGGATGGACGGATGGACGGACGGATGGATGAATAAGTCAAGGAAAGAATTTCCATACCGAATGGATGAATGAATAAAGAAAAGGAAAGAAGAGATTAATTGCAATCGGCCCTGAACGAAGACCTCGGGGAAGTGGGATTCGGGTGTCAGGGCCACGGGGGGTGGGGGCGCCTTCCACTCACCTGCACGTAGTCCACGGAGTCGCCCAGCGCCTTGAAGGCGGTGTACATGACCTCGCGCTTGCCGCCCCAGCGCTGCGCCACGCACACGC